GTAACCCCCTATTGTCGACACCTCTGACTTTTCTCGAGTCAAGTACTTTTTGTTGGTTAGTTCCCGGTAACCTATAAAGTTTGCGTCTTCTAACACAACCGTAATGCACATGTCGAGCAGCATGCAGATTCGTGGCAAGAGAGAAACTTCTTTTCGTAGGCGGAATTGCGTTTGAATTGCTAAAATTTCATTTGTTATTCCACTGGAGCCACTGGCGGTGATATATTCCACCTAAAAGTGGAGACCGTTTTCCGATGCTGTTACGCATACGAATCGAGTCGTAAGAAAGCAAATTCAGAAAATCTGTAACGGACAATCTTTGAACTTTGGAATTGTTTCGAATTGTGCTTGTACGTATCGATCATCGATAAAGAGACCACCGACATCTTTCAATTCGTATTAGAAACGAAGATATATGTCGTGTATTTAGTAACGCCCTGTCAGAGAGAGAGAGAAAAAGTGGGACAACAGTCGACCAGGTATCAAACGAGATGAAGAAAAGCACTCTATAAATTCGCCATGGTTTTCTACAGCAGTTAAACGGCGAACCCTTGGATCCGTGAAAATTAAGGGACGGCAGAAGGCTGTCGCGTAACAAATCGCGTGATTTCCCGTGAACGAGTAGGAGAATGTTGTATAGAAGAGAGGCTCGAAAGTACATTTTAATCTGTTCCTGCCCAAAATACATCGAAATATCGAGAACGTCCACTGGAACCGCAATATTTGTTCCTTGTCAGAGCCAAACTGTTTTTTCTCAGAAAGATAGTAGATTACGGAAAATCAACGTGCAATAAAGATCCATTGTATTAAATCTATCGGCTATTTGCTGTAACATCATTTGTCAATAAAATATTTTTTAGGAGCTGGAGAAATTCTGTGTTCAATTAATACTATACACCCTATTCATAAATTTCAATCAAACTGAAATATTCAAATTTTCAAGCTAATTTCAATTAAACTGTAAACCGTTCTACGCTCTTTAATTCCACTTTTAATCGTTAAACGACTATTTTCATTATTCATTCGATTCCCCGAAAATCAATCGCAATTTAACGCTCCCTTTCTTTCAAAATCTCTCGAATACTCTTCTATTTACACGATTTCACGCCTTATCATCGACAAATTTTCCGCTTTCGCCGTTTAAAAATTTCACGATCCCGAGAGGCACGGTGATCGATTCGCCGCGTATCCGTTGAAATTTCCACGCGTTTCCATTTTTCGCAAAGGTGTTCAAGCACGATGTCGGAGGTGTCAACGAAGAATCGCCGAAAAAGGGGACTCCCCGCGGTTAAATTTGCACGCCTCGTCCCGCTGAATATTTTCCATCAAAGGGTTGCTCGGCCGGTAAATATGCTAATTCACAGCGATGTCGCGGTGACCGGTATTCGCAGTCGGGATGCTGTTTCCCGATTGTCCAGCGGACGTCGTTTATGTACCGTCAAAGTGCCGACGCCGCGACGCAGCTGCTTCGACGCTCTCTTCCCTGTACCGCTTTCGCCGGCCACAATGCGTTTTCGTTCGTAATCGATGGACGATTATTATCCTATATTGTTACGTCTTGTAATTCTTTTTTCGACAATATTGAAATTTATTAGCAATAAAATTTTACTATAATTTCATTGTCATTTTACAAATTTACAATTATAAGAATAACAATTTATCTTATTCTACGAACTTTAAATTCTCCTCATTCTTAGATTTATCAATGAGTTTGGAATAGTTGATGCAAACGGAAAATCAAAATTTTTAAAATTTCATAAAAATTCTAAAATACTAACGTAGAATTAAATTAATATTTATGAAATAAAATTGATCAAATATCAATATTTATCGAATGAAATCGATCAAATATCAATATTTATCGAATAAAATCGATCAAATATCAATATTTATGAAACAAAATTGATCAAATATTAAACACAATTTAGAGATTAAAATTTATTAACGATAAGGACTGTAAATATTGAGTTAAACGTAGGAAATATCGAAGACCACGAAAATGTTAAATCTTCACGAAACACAGTTTCTTTCATTCGAAAGTCAGTCTTTCACGTCGAGTTAGGATTACTGTAAAACCGCAGAAATTGGTGTGCACGCACGTAAGACAGAAAATGGTGAAAGACGGGCAGACACACCGTCAGTTTATCCTTGTGGAAAGGGGCGAAGAGAAAAGTGGAGGAAGAGAAGAATGAAAAAGCGAGACCGGCGTCTCTATGTTAGAGTTGCGGGCACGGGCCATCTGGCAGAACGATCTTTTATAGGATCTATCTATCCCGTGTCCTCTCTTCAATGAAGGAATCACTCGCGCGGAAGTTCCTGGCCCTTTTGATTAATGGCTGGCGAGATAAACCGCGACTACGATCAAAGAGGATCGACAGAGAGAGAGGATTCTGAATCGATTCACGTTTGGGGAATTCTCTGGTCTTTGATAGCGGCGACGAGGAATCGAAATATTGCAATTCGAACAGGTTTGGGATTTGGTCACTTGTGATTCAGACGCGTGCAGACGAATGCAATTTGAAAGCAATGGAATTTCGAGGCTTGTAATATGGGATTTAGTCATTTCAGCGCGTGGGATTTGGAGGTTTGTAATTTGAAATTTGGCAATTTGAAAGTTGGGAATTCGGACGCTTGAGATTCGAAATTTGAGAGTTTGGGACTCGAAAGCTTGGAATTCGGACGCTTGCAAATCTGAATTTAGTAAGTTGGGAGCTTGGGATTTGAAAGCTTGGAATTCGGACGCTTGCGAATCTGAATTTAGCGATTTCGGAGCTTGGGATTTGAAAGCTTGGAATTTGGACGCTTGAGATACGAAATTTGGGAATTTGAGAGCTTGGGATTCGTATGTTTGGAGTTTGAGTGTTTGAAATTCGAAACTTTGCAATTTGAAAGCTTGGAATTCGGACGCTTGCAAATCTAAAATTTAGTGATTTCAGAGCTTAAAATTTGAAAGTTTGGAATTCGAACGCTTGGGATTCGAAATTTTTCAATTTGAAAGCTTAGGACTTGAAACCTTGGAATTCGGAGACTTGAAATCCAAAATTGAGTAATTTCATCGCTTAGAAATCGAACGCACGCAACTCAAAATCTCGCAATTTCATCATCTAGACCTCGAAAGCTCCCAATCTTCCACATCCCAATTAACAAAACAAAAGAAACCCATTTAAACTGACAAAATTTACAACTCCAACGATTCTAATCACCTACCTCCAATCTAAATAACACCAATAACAATTACAATCCAAAATCCCGTAGAAATTCCCAAATTATCACCACCTAACGCCCATCTGAAACGAAACTTCCTAATCCCCTTCCAAATTACCTTAAAGTCGTAAAACATCTTCACAACTCCGCAACTTTTGCGTTTTCCATTCGGAAACAATTCTTAACAACGAAATTAAACAGCAAAAGCAACTTGTCGTTGCGGCGAGCATTAAAGGGTGCGAAGAGGAAGAAAGAAGAGGAAAAAAAAAATGGCATAAACGGTATAAATCATCGACGGGTAGTAGAGAGCGATGAATCCAGTTGGGTTCATCGACGTGGAAGGGGCATAATCAAATTTCTGCCCGCCATGCAAGGGGCGGCAACTTTGCGGTCGTGCACACTTT